TAGTACCAGGCAGGGATTGGCATGATGGGAAGTGCCTGCTACCTTCCAAAAACGCCCGCTACCTTCCAAAATGGGTTTCCGCTAATATATTGCCGTTTCTGGCCAGCTCTGAGGCAAAGCCAGCAAGGCCCGGAGATGGCCACTTGCAAACTTTGCCTGCTTGTGAAAGGACCTCCGTAAGGAACTCTCAGTGTGTGCTGTTTGTGGCTAAATTGATTCCCTGATCCCTGTGTGACCCATTGTCATTGATTGAAAGTCTTGTGTGTTAGGATTATACTGTCTGTTACTTGCCTGACTCGTGTGTCTGTGCAATTATTAAATATTGAGTATTCTTGGGACTCCAATAAAAAGGATCTGGCCTCATAAAGGCTGATTACTGTGTTCTGAATTCTTTCCACCTACTTTGTTGAATTCCGGCCCAAAACTGTTTCCAGATTCAATTACCCAAAGAAAGAATTCTTACCTGAGCATAAGAAATAGACTGTTTGGAAAACTTGCTGATGACGATGATTCTCTTTCAACAGCAAATACAGCACGGTTTTCTTGAAATATGCAGGGAAAAGTACGAAAATAAAATGCGAAAAAACATCAGATTCACTTGAGCTTTCATTTCAAAATGCCATTCGATGTTTTCCTCCTCGACATGAACAAACAGACAGGAATATGCAGACACGTACGTCAGAGTACAAAATAAAAACGTTTCCACCCGGGTTCGCAACAACCAGGTCCTCATCAGAAGGATGTAAAAACACGCTGAACTAGAAGCAATTTTTCAAGAACAAGTGTCCTCTATACAATCAAGGACCCGAATTCTCAAAAAATCACCAGGTTTTTTTTTTTTCTTTTTCTCATCCGTGTGAAAGACTTAGTAATATTTGCGGTATGCGTTGTATGCTGGGGCCAGAGCTGGGACACCGTAGCCATAGGCAGCAGGCTGAGCGTAAGTCGGGTAAGCATAAGCAGCAGCCGGGACGAAGGCGTCGACGCGCTTCGTGAGGTGGATGTCGGGTCGTGCGACAGCATTGGGGCCAGAGCTGGGACACCGTAGCCATAGGCAGCAGGCTGAGCGTAAGTCGGGTAAGCATAAGCAGCAGCCGGGACGAAGGCGTCGACGCGCTTGGTGAGGTGGATGTCGGGTCGTGGGACAGCATAGGCGCCGACAGAGTGGGCCACAATGGGGGCGGTCACGTCGTAGGCGGCCTTGACGACGGGCGCGAAGTCCTTGTGGGCGGTCGGGGCCAGGGAAGAGCGGAAGCCGTATTCGTCAGCGACGTAGTTGTTGGTCAAGAAGGAGCCATCGGGCAACGGGTGACTGCAAGGAAATTGTTAAAATTTACTTCCTTGTGGAGAAACTTATTTTCATCCTGGGAATGCAAGAAAAAGAGGGCTTCGACTCATCAGCAGCGTCAGATAATTGAGAATAAAACCTTATTCACAGAATGGGAGATATGATCTTTTTGCACAGTAGAAGTATTTTTTTTCATCTCGGCGAATTTTTTTCAGCTGCTTATATTGGGGTTTGAAAACAAGTTGTTAAGTATTCGAACATTCACGTTATTTGTTTTTTGTGATACTCCAATTTTCTGGAGGACATCAAAGTACAGTACTCCTCTTTTCCAAGAAGTGACTTCGTATACGAACTCACCTCTTGGAAATATGGAGAAACTTTTTGAAGCATATTTCCTGAATCATTTGATCTTAAATGTGATTAAAATTTGATGGGGAAAAATTCCAATTTCAAAGAGGAAACTCAAAAAGCCATTTTTTTCTGGAACAAGTAGATCCTCGCACTCCTGGTATACAATAACCCACTTGGATTAGAGGGATGTATAAGAACTATACTGTACAGTATATTGAAAGTTTCTAAATTTACGAGCACAGTACTGTACTGTATGTGTATTATTGACGTTGTCATTTCTGCATTAAAACCATAGTTCAACGAACTATTTCAAAGCTGAAAATTCCGGTATCCTTTCTGTGCAACCGCTGAATGATTTATGCATTTTATGGGTTTATCCGCGCTGTTATTTGTCTATATGTTTCAGTACTCGAATATTCTACTTTCTGGAGAAAAATTAAATCAGATCAACGCCTTTTAAATTTGATCGTTGGCATTGAAAGCAAGAGACTTCTTTTTGCAATTTACACGTTGACGAGTTTAAATTTATGCGACAAATTCGGCTTGCAACTTAGAACGTGAAAAGGCATCGTAAGGCTTGTTTGAAATAATTCGCATTGAGAGTGGACTCTCTGTGCAAAGATCTTGTCTACAAAGATTTCGTTATTGTAGAACGAACTTTCTTTGGTCCCTTATCTTTTGTCGTAGAGATGAGCTTGAGTTCATCTGTATACCTTTTTATATTTTCTGGATAACTTCGAGAATGATGATCTATCAAAGTAGAAGGACGTTTTCGGAATGGTGAAAGCTTTTTTTTGGACAAATAATTTCCACCCACAAATGATCAATAAGCGAAAATTTCGTCAAGGTATACTGCATCATTGTTTACACTTCTTATAGGAAGTTCACCCATGACAATAAAAGGCTGGGCTGACCTTAAAGAAATTCTGAAGTTCGTTTCTTTTCCAACGAAGTTTTCGAAAAAAAAAAATTATTTGTGAAACTCTCATTTTTTTGGTAAAAGCAGTTGTAGAACCTAAGTTGAATACTCTTTCGTCGCTCAAAAAATTAAAAGAATGGTAGGGTTATAGGGTTATTTTCTTCTGAAACTTACGAATAAGAACCAACAACGGTGCCGTCAGCATGACGAGTCTCCTTCTTGGCACCGTTGGGCTCGGCGTATCCGTAGCTGTACTGCCCGAAGTTGTCCTGGCTGTGGTACTGACTGCGTGCCACGTGGGCAGTCTTGTGGACCACGGGTGCCACGAGGTGCTCGTGGTGCACGTACTGCTTGTGGAGACCAACAGGGAACACGCTGGCCATGCAGGCAGCGAAGCACAATGGCAACAAGATCTATTCGTGGATATACAGATACTATACAGTATATCATTGTCGGGTAAATACAATGCAGAAACAAAAGCCCAAATTTCAAGAAAGTCAGAAACGCCAACGACCTTGAATAGAATTATTTTGATGTTCTGAGCATTTTAATTTTAATCTTTGTGACCGTGAAATCTAACTTGACACGTGCGAACATTTATTGGACGGATGTCTGTCGGATGGTTCAGGGTTGTGTCAGGAATTTTAAGTGTTCAGGAATGTTTTTAAATACGAGGCTTCTTCATTTTCTTTCGAAAACTTTTTCTTATAAATATTATTCAGAATAATCCACCAAGCAAGTCATTTTCGTCGATTTAGAAATTACAGGGTGGTATTTATGTAAAAATAATTTTAAATTATGAATGGCGATAGCATATGAATCAGGTTCATATTTTCACACTAACACTCATCTACAGTCCATTTTTGCCTTCAAAATCAAATACACCAGCTAAAATTTCGCATTTTTATTGTTTACTCGTGAATTTCAAAGAATTATGCTTGAGATTTGAAATCATCACAAGTAGCATTGATCTCTTCATTGAAAGCTGCAACAGTAATTTTTGAGAAAATGCAGGACTAAGCTTCCATTCCTTTCCAAACTTTAATATTCAGGGATAATTTCCAAAATAATTGCACATAAATTGAAGGAAATGTATGGCTTTCTATATAGGACTGCTTCTTTTCAAAACTGCTGAGAAGATCGAGATCAGGTCGCATTTGGACAGAATTATTCGACGTTTTCCATTTATTCGATTTCAACAAATTCCTGAGATTTATGATGGCTCAAAATTGCGCGATCCACGCTTTGAATTCGTGTCAATAATATGTGAAGTTAAACGTGGAAATTTTCAATATTTTATAATTTTCCAGATAATTTCGTCAGACACTTACCAGAGAGTTCATGATGATTTCGGTGATTTTTGTTTAATTGACGAGCGTGGCACACGAAAAAATGCAGCTGGCTTGCTTAGCTAACCGTGAAGTCTCAGGCAAACTACAGAAGCAACTGATGCCTGCTCCAGACCCTCCCTGTCTGTTTTATATGCCCCAGCACATCAACTCTCTCATAGCCTCGCCCAAAAAAACAGTTTCCGGTTCTCCAAACCCCTCAATCTCACACGCGGATGACCTTACTTCCTTGTCCCAATTTCAATGCTTCTTGTGTTTCTTTCTCTCTCATTATTTTCTTCTTTTTCCTTTTTTGTCTGATTTATTCATCATTTGTCTCAGAACACAGGCATTTTTATGGCCTTTTTTTTGCATAGGACAATGGCCATTTGATCATTGTTGCATGTAAAAATTTCTGTGTTGGGAGACAATTCTCCCAGAACACAGATATATGTGTGGCCTTGGACAACAGTCATTTGACCATTATTGTAAGTAAAAATGGCTGTGCTCTGAGACAATTGTCTCAGAACGCAGCAATTTTTGTGGCCTTTGTCTTGTGCAAGGATGGTCAGTTGACTGCTGTCACATCCCAGCAGTTAATCTGGGTATTCCTGGGCCCATCTGCTAACCATAGGAGATAGTCCCCCATCAGGTCCATCTTGGAGGATGGTCTTACAGGACAAATTGGACTAGTCCTCCAAGCCATCCAGAAGATGAAGGTGAAAGATAGGCCCTCCATGCAACCCCCCCCCCCCACTTCATATTCCGTTTCAACCCTCTGGAGGTGCCATTCCCTTGTGGAGTCTATTGCCAGACAGACTCATATGAAGTACAGCTGTAAAAATTGTGCTTTTACCTGTCTTGCAACCATGATCTTCTGCAGGCAGCTTGTGTGTATGATGAGGGTTGATCATTATATATTTGCCTTACAAATCCTTGAAAAGTCTGTTGGCCAACGTGTTTATATCGTGTAATGCTTGTTGTTAAAAGAAAGTGTTTGATCATATGCACTATACAAACACATACCAGGAGAGGCAATCAAACACAATGACAGACATACAGAAAAAAAAACATTCACAAGACAAAACAAGAAAAATTTGCAAGCTCTTCAGGGATTTGAATTTGGGCCCCACAACTCCAGAGCACACCAGCATAGCCACTAAGCTATAAAGGCAACATGATGTATGTGGGTCCCTGTGTGTTGCTATTATACCAAGAATGCTTTACAACTGTGTCATATTGCACTAAACGAATACCTCCGCCAAATAAATCAGTACCTGTGACATTGAAGAAGCTGGAAGCAATAAAACCAACAAATCTAACCTCAACTTTGATGAACATCTCCTAGGGCCCAGACTTAGATTATTGCCCAGTTCTGAACCCTAAAGCATGTCCTAAATCCCCCAGGAGCTGAGTGATGCAATGATTACAGCTTAAGAAAATTTTAATCCTTTATATACTGCGCTAGCTTTTCATATAATCTAAAAATATGGAATCTCAGACTTAATTATAGAGATGTTTAGCTTGGGAGGACATATAGCTAATCCCCCACAGGTGAATTACATTTCCTTGAATTTCAGCTGTCCCATAAAATACGATATTTTTCATCAACAATCTCTTTCATCAGCAAGCTCCATTTTCATCAACAGCCGCCTTCACAGATGCCGTATTGGCCACCACATTTGTGGCTGTGAAGGCAGCTGTTCATGAAAATGGTTGAAGACCTGGAGGAATCCCTTACAATTAATGCCACATTGATTTCAAGAATTCCAAAGAGGGAAGCTGGGCTACAACAACAAAAATCTGGAGGAAGCATGCCACATCTTTTGAATGGAGAGCAAAACTCTGCCAGGGTGAATTTTTCAAAACAATCCCAAAAATTTGTCAACAGGGCTTATTTTTTTCTTGTGTTGACAAATATGTTTTCCCTAAGGAATAACGTTTTTACAGCTCAATTATATGCCATTTCAATTACTATTCCATGAACTTTTTTTGGACCACTTGTATAAGTCTAACTACCAACAGACATAACACAGTATAAGTCTGACTACCAGCAGACTTTGCAAGACTTTGCTTGGCAAATATGTAATAATCAGCCCCCATTATACACACACATCATTCCTCAAAGAAGACATTGTTGTGAGAGGGAAATAAAGCATATTGATTCCTTCAAGCCTGCAGCAACATTCAATGAAAAACACTTTTTTACTGACAGACATAACACAAAAGAAACATGTTGGCCAACCAACTTTTCAATACTTTGTAAGATGAATATGTAATGATAAACCCTCATTATGCACACATCATGCCCATATACAGGAGGAAATATTGTAAGAGGGGAAAAGAGCATAACATTTCCTTCAATCCTGCAGCAAAATTCAATGGAAAACACTCTCTACCAACAGACATAACACAATATAAGTCTGTTGGAAGACAGATTTTTCAAGACTTTTTAAGTCAAATTTGCAATGATCAACCTCCATTACACATTTATCATGCCTGCAGGAGGACTTCATTGTGAGAGGGGAAGAAGGCATAACAATCAGGTTCTGGTTGACTGTCAGTTGACTCATTTAGCTTACATCATGAGATGCTGACCAACTGAAACCAAACGAATAGTAGGATAATAAAAAAACATGTATATATAATGTACATATTCATACTGTTTAGCTATACTTAGTGACTTTCTGTTTTTAAATACTTTAAATATTCAGTATTTTAGACTTATGAAAGCATTTTGATGTGCATCATTTTGGACACACAGAGAATTACTCAACAGTACTGCTAATGAAATGCATTAAATTGTATGCTTTCTTGCAGATTATTTTCCTAGCATGTATATTATTAAGATGCATGCTGAATGGAACCACTGCATATGCTGCACTGCTGTGCTGCTGTGATATGCCGTGTATGGGAGTTAAAAAAAAAATATATATATATATATATATATACATGCACATGTTTGCTTCATGAAAATGACTAATGAAAATCAATGAAATAAAAAGAACCAGTAATGCAGGGAGGATAGGTTTGAGGGGGTGCAGAGGACAGAGCAGAAAATAGGTGGACATGCAGTGCATACAGTATCATACAGAATAAACATGACATCTTGGGGGATGGGTCTGGGGAACCATGGGCATCCTCAAGGGTGGTTCTCTAATGTTTCTGGGAATGTACCCACATCCCCTTGGATGGTTCTCAGATGGCCATCTTTTGGAATCCCCCTGGATGCATCCTCCTTCAAATGGGGATCCAAGCAAGATACTTCCTGTGCACATGTCCAATGCCTTGGCAGTCCATCCCTAGCTATGCACAAATGCCAGATGCCCAAATTATTTGCTGGGATGTGGACAGTTCTGTGTTCTGAGACTACTGTCTGAAAACAAATAATTTTTAACTTTTTTTGCATGCAGCAATTGTCCTTTGACCATTTTCATATGTGAAAATTTCTGTGTTCTGAGACAATTGTCTCAGAACAATTGTTTGTTGCATGCAACAGCAGTCAAATGACCATTGTTGCATGTGATGACAAATTCTGTTGAAAGACACCATTGCATGACACATGACCATTGTGACATGCAACAAAAGTCAAATAACTGTCATTGCATGTGACAATGGTCACTCAAAAACATTATAAGGGCTGTTCTTTTCCTGAAAAAAAATTGTTTCTGCTTGGAACCAATTAAACAATTTTTCATAGAAGTACATTGGAAATTGTGCCTTTTATACAAACAAATCATAATACAAATGTAGCTCTGGAGCAAATTGCATTTGTGGTACAAGGTACCACTGTACAAGATTTTATTTTATCACAAATTTGCTTTGTGCACCTTTTACTTACAAATGCAGGTTTGATGAGATGAATACAGTATATGGAACATTTTAATGATAGCATATCCGTTATGGCACTGACTTCTTTGAAATGCATTTAAACATGCAAGTATTTTTAGATTGCGTATCCTCACGTAAGTGGAATGAAGTTCCATGTTTAAAAAAAAATTTTCAAATCATTTTCCTTTGTTTTTATGACATCAACGCAAGTATAATATCTTTCCTTTGAGATTGAAGTAAGCCTTTTGATTAATGATCTCATCTACATAGTGCAGAAGAAAACAAAAATTGCAGCAAGAAAACATCACCTTTGCCTCTGGTAGAATTTCAAATGAACAATTTTGGAGAATACCTCCTTGTTAAGGAAGTATAAATTTCTTCTTAAAATGAATGCCAAGGAAAGAAACAGAACTCTTCCTGAAAACTACTAATTGCAAGTGCTAAAACTACTTTCCCAGTGAGCAAAAAAATGTTTATTTTGAATCCAAAACTTATGCAAAGCAACTTATCCCAGAATCATACCAAGAACGGACAAGTTTTGGACAAGTTGCTTTGGATATGTTTGGGACAAAATTTGCACTTCTTGTCCAATTTTTATCCAAAAGTCATCCAAAAGCAGTCATTTGCTTTTGAATGGCTTTTGGATCCAAAACAGACATGTTTTTGGAGGGATCTGGGAATTGTTTAGATGAAAATTGGACATGTCCAATTTTCATCCAGAAGATGTCCCAGTTCCCTCCAAACTGTGTCTTTATTTATTTTTAATCAGCTGCATTTGGAAAAATTTTTCTGCTTCCAGGGGATTGATATTCTTCTTTTAAGGTTATTTGCTCTTCCTTTACTCCTCTTCAATTCATTTCAATGATGATCAGAATATACTAATTATCTCTTCTGAGGGACCCGTTTAAATATCTCATTTATTCTACCTATTTGTAAGGTAACTGTCATTAAATAATTAGCTATCCTATTGAATCTCAGGTACTGAACTAATTAAAGGTGTACATCCTACAATAAATGATTCCTATCCTCAGTGGGAATTGAACCCAGGAACTCTCCCTTCTAAGTCTAACCCCTTAGTCAGACAGGTATATAGCCCACTTCCTGGGGGGACTTTTTTTTCAAACTTGTTTGATACCAACACCTCATGCAGACAAGTTTGAAGAACGTGTATGCCAGACACTGGCACCAGAAACTGGCAGACAAGTTCTCCAAACTTGTCCACAAGAACACAATTTTTTTGGACAAGTTCTCCAAAACTCATCCAAATGAGTTCAAAACATGTTGGTGGAAGTGATTTGGATGAGTTTTGGACATCTTTCAGAGAATTTTGTGCTCACTGGGTTATTTGATTTAACAATTGACACCTTCATTCTACTGTATATATAGATGGACAATGGTCGTTGAGTGAGGTTTATGAACTCCATAAAGTCAGGATTAGTCTACAAATATGCAGATTGAAAACAACCCTGGAGACATTCTTTGTCTTTCCAAGATTTTCTACTTTTTTATTTTGTCATGGTACATAAAACTTTGTTAGTTTCAGTTATGAAACTAGCCGTAATACTCCATTTTTTTCAGAATATATACAGATGATTGCAAACTATGAGTTATGAAACGATTGTCTTCGAGTTCTGTTCTCCAACTCGTCGTGGAAGAACGAGGATTAATTTGGTGAATCATTAGTGAATAAATCTCGTAATTTCCATTTCGCAATATTCATTTCGTTTTCATTGTACGAGAAATATGAACGACGGCAAGAATACAGAGGAAACTATAGAAGTGGGACAATAACAACTTCGGCGTGAGGCGAAAAACAAGCATTTTTTCACAACGATTGAACGAAAGAAACGCTTGCTGGTTTTCAGTTCGTAAAAAACTATGTACCTTAACTATGAAAAAAAACACTTCTTAATAGTGTCCGTAGGCCAGGCGACCATCGGGGTATCCGTAGGGGCCAGCAGGCTTGATGTAGGCGGGGTACGCATAAGACGGAGCTGGGAGGTACTCGAAAGAAACGCTTGCTGGTTTTCAGTTCGTAAAAAACTATGTACCTTAACTATAAAAAAAACACTTCTTAATAGTGTCCGTAGGCCAGGCGACCATCGGGGTATCCGTAGGGGCCAGCAGGCTTGAAGTAGGCGGGGTACGCATAAGACGGAGCTGGGAGGTACGCGTCGACTCGCTTGGTGAGGTGGATGTCTGGTCGTGGGATGGCATAGGCGCCGACAGAGTGCGCCAAAATCGGGGCGGTCACGTCATAGGCGGCCTTGACGACGGGCAAGAAGTCCTTGGGGGCGGTCGGGGCCAAGGAAGAGCGGAAGCCGTGTTCGTCAGCGACGTAGTTGTTGGTCAAGATGGAGCCATCGGGCAGGGGGTGCCTGTGAAGGTATTAAAAAATACGTATTCAATGATTCATTTCGAGTTTTTTGATACGTCAAAAAAAGCCGTCGAAGAAAATAGTGTTCATCCTCTGCTGCTTCTGTAATAAAAAAAAAGCTCAGTTTTCACAATGAACAGAAAGAATTTAGTTGCAGCTGAACCGAATGAAATTATTTTCAATCATTTCAAGAGAACAAAATATTGAAAAACAAATCAAGACAAGGTGTAAAGGTGATTTCGAACTCACGAGTAGGTGCCAACAACGGTGCCATCGGCGTGACGAGTCTCCTCCTTGGCACCATTGGGCTCGGCGTAACCGTATTTGTATTGTCCCAACTTGTCCTGGCTGTGGTACTGACTGCGTGCCACGAGGGAAGTCTTGTGGACCACGGGTGCCAAATATTGCTTCTCGTAATGGCCGTAGCCGAGAGGCAACACGCTGGCCATGCAGGCAGCGAAGCACAAAGGCAGCAAGATCTGGACGTGTGGGAATGGAAAATATTGAACTGTCCATCAGAATTGAATAATAGCAGCGGTTTGCTAAATTTAATGGACAGCCGATGATTTGCAGATGAAACTAGAGTATAAGATAGAAATTATTCTCCTGCCTGCATTCTTTCTCAGCTCAAGGATCAAACTTTTCTGTGGACAATCCTTCATGTTCCAGTTCGTTAATGTGCGATCGCCATTTTCAAATTTATTCATCGGTCATCGTTTGGGCAAGTTTTGAAAAATTCATTCAAAGGAAGAATAATGGAATGAAATGTTCGACATTCAAAGAAAATGTTCTTCTGATGCTAGTCCAAATTTTCTTTTCTTTGTTACATGGTTTGACACTCATCATCTCATCATAAAAATTTATTCGAAATTCATGGAGTTCGTTGTGAGGATTTTTACTATTATAAGTGCAGATTTAAAAAAATCTTAATTGATGAAAATTCACTTCCACTGCAGCAGTTTTCCAGTTCAAATCCCTTCTTATTCCGTTCAAATAAAATACATTATTTTATCATGTAAAGCTTATTTCAGATAACTTCATAATTTCTTATTCATTCATGTATTGGAATGCAAGAATACATTTGGCCTCTAAATGTTTTCTGCGGGTCGCGGAAATGGGCTGATCTGCCTCATCGGGAACAGCTTAAATTTTGCCAATGGTCTTCAATGAGTTTTCTTTTTCTTCTATACATGGTTTGACACTCATCATCTCAGCATGAAAATTTATTCGAAATTCATGGAGTTCGTTGCGAGGATTTTTACTATTATAAGTGCTGATTTTTTGAAAATCTTTATTGATGAAAATTCACTTCCACTGCAGCAGTTTTTCAGTTCAAATCCCTTCTTATTCCATTCAAATAAAATACATTATTTTACCATATGTAAAGTTTTTTTCACATGTAACTTCATAATTCTTTATTCCTTGCTGTATTGGAATGCAAAAATACATTTTGCCTCTAAATGTTTTCTGCGGGTCGCGAAAATGAACTGATTTGCCTCATCGGAAGCAGCTCAAATTTTGCCAATGGTCTTCAGTGAATTTTCTGTTTCTTCTCTTACTTGAAAAATTCAAAAATGTGTGAAAAAATCAGGATGCAAGATACAATTTCTCACATCTTTGGACAGAATGATAGGATTTTCGGACTTGGTGGGCATAACTATATGAATGAAATTCAACTTTGAATTATGAAATGGAAATATTTAAAATTTCTAGAAGTTCTGAAGATTGGAAAATTTAAAGTCACAAGCATGTTATGTTTTTCACGTACGATTGCTGAATTTTTTTTAAGAGGCAGGAAAAAAAGACTTCGTAGACCAGGATCAACAGACTGTCGATCATCCATCATTATCACTGTTATAGTTTTGTCACTTCCATTGATGGTTTGACGACAGAAACTTGAAAAAATCCTTAACATTCTCATGCGAGATACTTATGATCTTCTGCTGGAAACATGGTTGACAATAAAACGGATCTCTTCGTGACGAAGCTTATCAACATCTCATATCTTCTTTCATAATTTTGAAAAATTGAAAGAATTCTCTGATGACTACGATGAGTCAGAACTAAGAAGAGATGCTTCTTTTCTTGTTCCATATATATGCGTTTCGTTTCCAGAAGTCGCTCATTTTCATTCGAATTAATTTTTAAGTTAAATTTTCTTGCGAACAATCTGGGTTTGAATATGATCTGATATTTGAGCAATACTGTATATAAATACTTTATATAGCTCGGTTATCTTTCAGCAACGATTCTCACAGGTAAAAGGTGTTGTGATGCAAAATTGGTACTGTATATTCATTTTCATGAACAAGTTGCATAGTATAAAACTTTCTAAATATTCCTAACTAACAGAATTCCTGAATAAGACATTTCCTCATCGGCCTTGTCATATGAGGAGCTTCGGGTTTAGTGCAGGTTTAGTTTAGTAACATGGGATGCAATTCTAACATTTAGTATAAGATTGTTGAAAATATGAAATGAAAGGTATGATTCTGGTCAGAATTTTTTTGCTCTTATAGCCGCAATTTTTTCGAAGTCCCGGTGTTTGATTCGCTCGCCATAAATATTAGAACTCATTTTTAGAATTAGCTTTTCTGCCTCAATGCACAATAACTGTGCTGCACTATAATAAAAGTACTGATCAGAAATTTTTCTCCAATATTGAACAGTACTTTTTATTCAAGGTACACGTTTCGGTCTTGTTTTTTGCCTTTCACTTGCCATTTTCTACATACAGCAGTATATAGTTACATCAGACATGAAAAAATTGATTTATCATATTTTTTCGTGTAAGACAAACATGCGCTGACGGAAAATGATTTAAACATTCCCACTTTTTCGAGAAAATTTCGAAAATGCGTTGTTTTAACTTTAGTTTAAAGCACAATCAACATTGACACTGTGCATGCATTCCATGCATGCCCATCATTACGCTGTACTTCCAAAACTATAGCACATTTTCAAGCCTGAGAAACCTTCCTAAATCTCCAGAGAAATGCAGGTTAGAACTGTAGAGGAAATTCTCTTGCCGATATATATGGAAAATAGGTACTCCTTTCATGAAAACATTTAATTAAATTAAAGTGGCAGGATTACAAGAATGGCATGTGTCCAGGATAATATTGTTCAATCTCTTTGCATCACAGATAAAAATTGCTGTTCAGCGCTTAAATGGCAAACAAAAAATTTCCTGTATATGAGCACAGCAATTTCATGATCACTCTAAATTTGATTGCGGGGTTAAGTCTTTAGTAGCACTGCACAGGGAATTACGTCGGATCAACATCACTGAAATAAGAATTTTCGGAAATGTATCACAGTGTTCATTGCACTCACGAGTAGGTGCCAACAACGGTGCCATCGGCGTGGCGAGTCTCCTCCTTGGCACCATTGGGCTCGGCGTAACCGTATTTGTATTGTCCCAACTTGTCCTGGCTGTGGTACTGACTGCGTGCCACGAGGGAAGTCTTGTGGACCACGGGTGCCAAATATTGCTTCTCGTAATGGCCGTAGCCGAGAGGCAACACGCTGGCCATGCAGGCAGCGAAGCACAAAGGCAGCAAGATCTGCATGGACGTGTGCATGGGAAAGGAAAATATTGAATTGAATAATAGCAGCGGTTTGCTAAATTTAATGGACAGCCGATGATTTGCAGATGAAACTACAGTATAAGATAGAAATTATTCTCCTGCCTGCATTCTTTCTCAGCTCAAGGATCAAACTTTTCTGAATTGAATAATAGCAGCGGTTTGCTAAATTTAATGGACAGCCGATGATTTGCAGATGAAACTACAGTATAAGATAGAAATTATTCTCCTGCCTGCATTCTTTCTCAGCTCAAGGATCAAACTTTTCTGTGGACAATCCTTCATGTTCCAGTTCGTTAATGTGCGATCGCCATTTTCAAATTTATTCATCGGTCATCGTTTGGGCAAGTTTTGAAAAATGCATTCGAAGGAAGAATAATGGAATGAAATGTTCGACATTCAAAGAAAATGTTCTTCTGATGCTAGTCCAAATTTTCTTTTCTTTGATACATGGTTTGACACTCATCATCTCAGCATGAAAACTTATTCGAAATTCATGGAGTTCGTTGTGAGGATTTTTACTATTATAAGTGCAGATTTAAAAAAATCGTAATTGATGAAAATTCACTTCCACTGCAGCAGTTTTTCAGTTCAAATCCCTTCTTATTCCGTTCAAATAAAATACATTATTTTATCATGTAAAGCTTTTTTCAGATAACTTCATAATTTCTTATTCATTCCTGTATTGGAATGCAAGAATACATTTGGCCTCTAAATGTTTTCTGCGGGTCGCGGAAATGGGCTGATCTGCCTCATCGGGAACAGCTTAAATTTTGCCAATGGTCTTCAATGAGTTTTCTTTTTCTTCTCTTGCTTGAAAAATTCAAAAAATGTGTAAACAAATCAGGATAAAAAAATCAAAATTCTCACAACTTGGGACAGAATGTTAGGATTCTTAGGCTTAGTGGGCAGCATAGCGGTCTAAACAAAATTCAACTGTGAAATTATGAAATGGAAATATTTTAAAATTTCTAAAAGACCTGAAGATGAGAAAATTTAACGCCACAAGCATGTCATGTTTTTCGCGCACGATTGCTGAATTATTTTCAAGAGGTATAAAAAAAGACCTTGTAGACCAGGATCAACAGACTGTCGATCATCCATAATTATTACTGATAGAGTTTAGTCACTTGCATTGATGGTTTCAGGACAGAGACTTTAAAAATATTCCAACAATAACGTCATTGCTGCTGCCTTACCTCCAGAGCAGATATACGTGATTTTACACAAGCTTAGAGGAAGAAAAAGTGAAGAATCAAGGGGCTCACCAAGGAGTTCATGTCGAATATTTGTCGGTTATGAGAAACTTGAGTTTTCACAAAAAAGCTATGAAGTCCCAGCAATCCTGCGATTTGGCGGCTACTGAAGGAACAACTTCTGAGCGAATGTGTGCCCAAATCAGAAATCCGCTCTGTTTATATACTCCTGTGGCCGCCGCCCTTTGGGAAACTGCATGCATGTAGACCCAGTCGGATCTCGGAAGCGAACCCGCCCCTGTGGCACTACGTACCCGCCGGGACAGCGATATTTCATTTACCGAAGAACGGTCAAGAAATTAATGTTTGACATTATCATTGCAGTAAGCTAAATGAACAGTATTGGTCAGTCGAAATAAGTCTGGGTTTGATAGGAATGAGCCGAGAGAAGATTCGACCGAAATATTCGATGGTGCCAAGGTTAATGGACCATAATTTTCAACTGGGTGCCCCCACGTACCCAAAAATCTGGTTCCTAATTATCCAAATTATACAGTAATTTAAAGGTGCGTAAAACAGCTAAGTTTCAGACAGACTCCCAAATATTCCCTCAAGTTATTATATTTTCCATCAAGTCAATACCTGGAATGGTTAATTTCTTTCGTATTCCTGTTCATGAATTTTGTGATACATGCTTATTACAATCCTTTTCACATGCGTTTGCCATTGAAAATTCAGAATAAAATTGTCAGACACTGCGAAAATTTGCAGCACGCAGTCAAAAATTTCATACGAAGTAATCAGCTTGACAAATTATTCCAATTGAAGAATAAATACACCGATTACAATAAAGCTCACATTTCAATATTCATTTTTGGTCAAATGTTTCCATATTTATATTCAATTTGAGCTGTGAGCCTAAAAGTGTCTTCCCTTATCCGGAATATATTCCAGATGTTCTGAAGTTCTACTGTTCTTACGTGAAGTGATGAAGGAAATTAGATATTTTATTGATGTTTTGGGTGCATAGGGCAATTTTTCATTTCTTAAATCATCACATACAGTATATTTGACATGAAAAGAATTACAGTAATTGTAAATAACCTATAAGGCTTTCAATTAAAGAGACTCAACACAAATAGCTGGAATTTCCGCTTCCATATGATAACCACAGGAAGGATAATAAATACATTTGAGTAATAAATCTGTACAGCACATTACCGCAAGAGTTATTTTTCTTCTTTGATTTTTGAGCTTCTTTTGATGCCAAAAGATTAGGTTCAATGTGGTTTTCTTCTGCACACCTGTTTTTTGTACCTTGAAATTGAGGGAAACAAGGTTTCTTCAATTTTTTTGAAGGACTTATTTCCAATTTTTTGTTAACAGAAGAACCTATTAACTATGCTTGCATTGAAGTCTATGGGAAAATGTGATCCAGCATGTGGATGATCCAACTTGTGGATGTCCACATATAGTGGTTCTATTGTATAAAAAAAATTGTTAGACAGTGAAACTTATTGTAGAGATATCCTTGGTTTGTTTCTCTCTCTATCTCTGTCACACTCTCTGTCTCTTTTCTCCCTCTCTCCCTTTCTCTTCATATGTGTATCCTTTACCATAATTGATAAAGGATTAGGATTAATATGGAACACCAAAACTTTTTTGAGGAAAGTTTGGACTTTACAGTAAGAGCATGTAACCAGCAGTATATATTATTTTGTGAATGTGATAAAGGTAGGGGAGTCTTTTGAATGTATTATTGTGAAAGAGTTGTTGTCCATTAAAATAAAACAATCTTTGAATATATATACAGTTGAACCCCGTTAAACCGCCCCCCAATAAACCGCCACCCTCACCTCCCACCAAAATGTTACACCAAACAAATCTCCCCAATGTTAAAAGGATGGGGCACCCTCGATAGGCCGCCATCCGCCATCCGCCAACAATTTGCTGGCCACAAAACACCACCTGCCTTTGTTATTTTACCCCGTTAAACCGCCTTTTTCTTATTTCCTCACCGAGGCTTTCATATTACTTCACTTCAACTATATACTTTTTCTTCAAATTCTTTCACTCTGTACTTTTTCTTGAAACAAGCAGCATTTTTCCTTCTTCCAAACATACTCTTCAGAGTTTAATTTTTTCTTCATAAATCCTTGAATGTTATGGTCTGCAAGCACTCTTCAGAAACTCTTCTGCCTCTCCAAATGATGTGCAGCTTTTTTTAAATATCAAATTGTAGTCAGAATCAGATTGGCTGCAAAACATAATTATCTTCTTGCTTCCAACAAGAGATTCCTTCAAAATTTGGAATACTCCTGAAAGTTAAGCAGGGAATGTATTACAGTATTGAATTTTTTCAGACATTTGTGGCTTGTTTGACAAATTCATGGATTCTTCCTAATATTTTAAAAATTTGTATTGATATTCTTTTACTGGAATCAAACCCTGCTGATGTTTAAAATGTATCACCATGAAGTTGTCAACATGCTGCAAACAAAGGAATTTACATGGATGTGCTGGGGTAATTTTTTGAAATATTTTTAGTTTATAAAAATAAATAACCCATTCTGTTGGACAAAAATTGAATGAATAATTTATATTTTCAATCTTCATGAGCATACCAATTGGCAAGTCATTTTAAATCATTATTGTTTGATGATCATCTGGTAGGGAGACTGCTAGAAGTTGCAATTACATACTTTAATTGTCATTTTCAGAAGTGTACAGGATAGGAAGCAAGGAATTTGGAGCAGCCCCTCTCTTTGTCTTTTTTTCCTTTTACAAAATATGTTCTTTGAGTTAAAAATCTTCTCAGGGAATGCATATGAATTTTTATCTTTCCAACCATCCTGGGACAAGAAAAATCTCATCTCACTTACAATGTAAAAAAAAAGGTTTCCTCTCCTTTTCTGTGATCCTATGTTCTGTGAGCTGATGACATATTCCACACCCCCCCCCCCCCATGACCCACCACCCTCGATAGACTGCCACCCTCGTTAAACCGCCAAAATCTTGTCCCCCCCCCCCCCCACCCCATGACCCACCACCCTCGATAGACCACCACCCTCGTTAAACCGCCAAAATCTTGCTGCACAGATGTTGGCGGTTTAACGGGGTTCGACTGTATAAATCTTTTATTCACAACAAACAAAGGTTTGAACAATACTCAAAAATAAAATATAACAGACAAGTAGTTCAAGATAATCTTGTTAAACGTACACAACGTTCTCTGAGATGTAACTGCAGTCAACACTGGATTAAATCTGAGGAATATAAGATTCTCAAGTAATATATATACCTTCTCAGGTATATAGGTTAACAGCGGTCTTTCACATTTTATTCATGAGTATGAGGACCTCATGAAGCAAACATCAAAATATCCAGCACACAATAACAACATACATATATATATGCAAAACAGCCTTGGAGGATATTTACCTCTGAAATCTGTATTTCAGAGGTGTGGCTGCGCAAGGGGCATTTGTCACTGTCAAAGGTGAGGGGGAGTTCTATATTCCATTAAACAGAACAAAAGCACATCACTCTGCTAATGAGGGGTGACATGAGAAGAGGACCCAGTGAGCACAAAGTTATCCAAAAGATGTCCAAAACTCATCCAAATGAGTTTCACGGACATCTTTTGGATAAAAAATTGTGTTCTGACGGACGAGTTATACAAACTCATCCATTTCAGCCTTCCTGAAACGGACCAGTTTGTACAACTTGTCCGTTTTAGCCTTCCCATCTTCAAGATAGGAAGGCTAAAACAGACGAGTTATACAAACTTGTCCATTTTAGCCTTCCTGAAAAGGACAAGTTTGTACAACTCATCCGTTTTAGCCTTCCCATCTTCAAGATGGGAAGGCTAAAACGGACAACTTATACAAACTCGTCCGTTTTAGCCTTCCCATAGTCGAAATAAGTCTGGGTTTGATAGGAATGAGCCGAGAGAAGATTCGACCGAAATATTCGATGGTGCCAAGGTTAATGGACCATAATTTTCAACTGGGTGCCCCCACGTACCCAAAAATCTGGTTCTTAATTATCCAAATTATACAGTAATTTAAAGGTGCGTAGAACAGCCAAGTTTCAGATAGACTCCTAAATATTCCCTAAATTTATTTGTGGTTCGATTTTCACACAGCTCTTATTTTTGACAGAAAGTTAACTTTGGGCTTTGAACAAAGTCAATGTTTGAAGAAGAATTAGGCCAGAACTCTGACAACAACCATTTATTTCATAACAATTCACAAGATGGGAGAGTACCTTCACAATTCACAGCTAAAATAGGTCTGATGCTTTCCACACAAAATTCAACCTTTTCATACACAGAAACCAAAATCATGGAGAAAATAAAACCCAGCAATCACAAGAAAACCAGTCACAAAAACCAGGTTTCTGAGCCTCCAAGTTGGCATCCCGAGGTGAGCAAACCAGGCGCTAAAATAAAACTTCTTTCCCTTCCTTTTCCTGTCTACAATAAAAAGAAAACACACAGCAAACCAAGGTTAGAGCACTCTGGAATGGTTTGAGAATCTTCCAGCCCTTTCTGGGCTTCCAGCCCGAAGTTTTCTGTGTCTCAAAGTAAACAGGATCAGCTCACTGGTAAAACCACCTGATTGCCTCAGAGATTAAAATTTGCTTCCCTGAAATTGCGGAAGGAATCGCTCTGGTAATTTCTCCTCTCATAGTTTCCACCACAGTTATTACATTCTTCATCCTGTCATTACCTGGAATGGTTAATTTCTTTTGGCTTCCTGTTCATGAATTGTTTTATACATGTTTATTGTGAAAATATATTGCCAAGCCAACTCTTATGCCATGTTTTTGACACGGTTTATTGGCAATTCCCAAAGTTAAAGACTTTAGGGATTATGTTTTGTGAAAGGCCATGCCAATGTGGATTGGCATGCTGAAAGACAAATGGCAAACCATCTGGTTGCAGTTAAGCTGCCAGAGAGATAGTCTCCCTGGAGAACTGGGGTCCTTCAGTTTTATGAGGAACCAAATTACCCAAAAACACCAGAATTTGACACTTGCTGCACATGAGTCTGTACAAACATAGATGCAAAGAACCTGTGTTGAATTTGCCTGAAATAAAGAGCTGAATTCTTTCTTGTGGGTTTTTTCAAACTTTTCCTATTCATCCCAAAAATACAAATTTTTGGGAAGCAATCTTTTTAACATATTTTGACCCAATAAATTGGCCCTCCTGTCAGTTTGGCCAAATTTACCAGGATCCTGTGGAAGTCCTCAATACTGCTGATGATGAGACCCCCAAAAAGACTGGGGCAGAAAATGCACAAAACCCAACTGATGCAAGGACTAGCATCATCAAACAGACCTGACCCCATCACTACAACACTCTGACATTTTGGCAAACATCACTGCTGATGATGAGACCCCCAAAAAGACTGGGGCAGAAAATGCACAAAACCCAACTGATGCAAGGACTAGCATCATCAAACAGACCTGACCCCATCACTACAACACTCTGACATTTTGGCAAACATTTTTGAATATCTGAAATTACACTTTGTGTTGTGTTACATCTTGATGCATAGCAATTGCTGTTTTCCAGTTGTGATATTAAGTTTGTACAAAGTGTTGCATTCTATTGAAGTGTGAGAACACATTTGCACTTATCTTTGACAGGTTGGCTATTTGTCTACAGTTCATTTTCCATCCAAAAAAAATTCATGATGACTTCCTTTGAGCATACACTGAGAAATTTCCATACCTACAAACTTTTGAAATAATAAAACTCTACTCTGTAAAAGCTTGAATATGTATTGTTCTCTTCTGGATTTTTTCCAGACAAAATGTGTACACTTACTGTATTACAATACTTTACATATGCATTTGTTATTGAAAATTCAGAATGAAAATTTTGAGACACTGAAAAAATTTGCTGCACACTGTCAAAAATTGCATACAAAGTGATCAGCTTGACAAATTATTTCAATTGACCAATAAAAACTCCATTCACAATGAAGGTCACATTTCAATATTCATTTTTTGGGTTACTGTTGTTGGGTCATGCTGGGGCCACTCTGTAGCCCCCTAGTGTAGCATCTTTGCAGAGGATAGGAAAAACCTAATACCAGGCATGGATTGGCATGATGGAAGTGCCTGCTACCTTCCAAAACAGGTTTCCACTAATATATTGCCATTTCTGGCCTGTCAGGCCAGAATGAAAAATAATTATCAGAATAAATGAACACCTCTCTTAGCCTTTAACGGCCTGATCCTCCTTATGGGAGTCCCTGAGAAGACTGCCTTTACTCCACAGCAACTCAAGCAAATACACAAGACCAACACAACAACTCCAAAGTAAAACCTAACTACCGAAGTCCAAATACAGCAGTGAACACACAAATCCTAGAGTACCTAGACCGTCCTCCTGCCACAATGATTGCAACGCTAATAATTCTATCTCGTGTCCCAAAGCCTTCACTTTGGGAGCACCTGATCGCTATCTTAATTATTGCGCCATCTCGCCACCCGGTTTGCCGCATTGCGGTGAACCGGGCGCAAGGTCCAGATTCCTTCCTTTGTCTTTCTTGCCATGCTGGCGCGCCTGGGAGAGGATGCTACCCAGGTCACGCCGCGTGGCTTTCCTTGCTTCCGCGACCCCACATGGCCAACTCCAAGGCAAAGCCAGCAAGGCCCAGAGATGGACACTTGCAAACTTTGCCTGCTTGTGAAAGGACCTCCCTGAGGAACTCTCAGTGTGTGCTGTTTCTGGCTAAATTGATTCCCTGTGTGACCCATTGTCATGGATTGAAAGTCTTGTGTGTTAAGATTATACTGTCTGCTATTTGCTTGACTTGTGTGTCTGTGTGATCATTAAATTGAGTAGTCTTGGCACTCCAATAAATATGATCTGGCCTCATCAAGGCTGATTACTGTGTTCTGAATTCTTTCCACCTACTTTGTTGAATTCCGGCCCAACAACTGTTTCCAAATTCAATTACCCAAAGAAAGAATTCTTACCCTGAGCATAAGAAATAGACTGTTTGGAAAATATGTTGATGATGATGATTCTCTTTCAACGGCAAATGCAGCACGATGTTCTTGAAATATGCAGCAAAAAAAATGAAAATAAAATGCGAAGAAACTTCAGAGTCACTTGTGCTTTCATTTAAAAATGCCATTCGATGTTTTCCTCCTCGACATGAACAAACAGACAGGAATATGCAGACACGTCAGAGTACAAAATAAAAACGTTTCCACCCGGGTTCGCAACAACCAGGTCCTCATCAGAAGGACGTAAAAACACGCTGAACTAGAAGCAATTTTCAAGAACTCGTGTCCTCTGTACAATCAAGGACCCGAATTCTCAAAAAATCACCAGGTTTTTTTTTTCTTTTTCTCATCCGTGTGAAAGACTTAGTAATATTTGCGGTATGCGTTGTATGGGGCCAGAGCTGGGACACCGTAGCCATAGGCAGCAGGCTGAGCGTAAGTCGGGTAAGCATAAGCAGCAGCCGGGACGAAGGCGTCGACGCGCTTGGTGAGGTGGATGTCGGGTCGTGGGACAGCATAGGCGCCGACAGAGTGGGCCACAATGGGGGCGGTCACGTCGTAGGCGGCCTTGACGACGGGCGCGAAGTCCTTGTGGGCGGTCGGGGCCAGGGAAGAGCGGAAGCCGTATTCGTCAGCGACGTAGTTGTTGGTCAAGATGGAGCCATCGGGCAACGGGTGACTG